CTGCAGCTATCATTATCTCGTTAGCAAGAGGTGCTTTGAAAGGGGAAGACTGAGGTCACTGAGACTGGGAATCAAGCCAGGCTATAAGGGAGGGTCACTGGTGTTGGCATGGTTCTCAAAGGCTCAGGAGGAAATAGGGAATCACCAATAGCCCCAGTAATGTTTTGTTGCCCTGTCTGCCTGTTATTCCTGCTCAGGATTTGCCTGCCTGTCATTGGCCCCATGGAGCGGGCTGGTAGTCAGGAATGTGTGCTGGTTGGACATAAGTTGGAAAGTTCAGATTGCTCAGGGCGGGTGAGGACTGAGTGGGGATGAGTGAGGGCCTGGGTGCCTATCTCTCTGATTTATAACGTCATTTTTATGTCTCACACTAGTCTCATTTATAAAATTGCAGGACAGTAAACAGCTCAGTAGAGATTTTAACTAAGTATGGTTAGATGGGATGCTATGAGATTTTTGGTGGATGCAAAGGCAGATTCTAACATCCAGCATGAGCGGACACATGACAAAAGTACTTTTCTTTGGGTGGTCTCACCTGGGCCTTTAATCAGAGGACTGATGTTTCAGTCATGTGTGGAACAGACCTTTGTTTGCATAAAGAATCCGGAGTTTTTCTGATCAGCCATAGCAATCATCCTGTCAGCATATTGCCTGAAAATCTAGTGTTGAAAACATGGCTCTCGGTGACTGAGCTAAGGGGACACCGTTGCTCCCCCTGCCATTCTGTGGCAATAAGTCCCTGCTGTTTGGGGGATTAAGTGTTCCCCATGTTGTCAGCAATAGAAATGGGTGAGCATTGGATAGCTTTACAGCAAACCATCAGGCAGACGAGGGGCTGTGCTAGGTAAGGTTGATGGTGATGACAGCTGACTCGTTCATTCATTCATTTGTTCTCCACCAGCTGAACTGGGGCCAGCTGGTCAGAAATGTGCGCTGGTTAGACATCAGTTAGGAAGTTCAGATTGTTGTCATTGCCTTGGCATCCCCAATTCCTAAAACAAGACTGAGAGGTTAAGGATCTTGCATTTTCCAAAGTGAATGTTGGAATATCCAGAGCTGGACCATCATGGATAGGAGATGAGCAGATGGCTGTCCTGAGCGTGGCTGTTGGAAGAAGGGCTTGAGCAAAGCTTAGGATGTCCAAGAACTTGGCAACTCTCTTGATATTTGTTCACCCCGATTTTAAAAAGGAGGGAGGAGAGCACTTGCACACATAGGATGCAGTAATTAGATGCAGTAATTTAAAATCAACCATTGTGCTGCGATAATTTTTAAAATATGCAATGCTGCTCATTGACCTCTTTTCCCTTAGATTATCAAACTTTTAAAATATGACATCAGCCAACACAACAATAACCATTTGGGATGAATTAAAATTATACCTACTTTTTGTCAGATCGGCAAAAATATAATTTTTTTTTTGTGTTGTGCTGCAGAATTTTAATAGTTTGTGTGTGTCATGAGATAAAGAAGGTTGAACATTGCTGAAAAATCAATTTTTAAGTAAAAATACTGTCCCCAGTTCTGAGAGGGGAGAAGGCAATGTGTACACATTTGGCAGTATCTACCTGTGGATATATATATATATGCTTATTGGACAAAGACAATTTGAAGGATAGACAACAAAATATTAAGGATACTTCTGAAGACCTTTTAGTTCTTATGATTTCATTTTTTTGAAGCTTTCACAAGGGATCTTTCATATTGAAACATGTTGAGTTTTATAAAGAAAAAATACTTTATCCAATGGAAGAATTAGGGGCTAGAACTCTGTATGCTGGATTTTGCTGTGTGATCATGGGCATGTGTGCTTGACCTTTCACTGCCTTGGTCTGTCCCAGGGCAGTGCTCCATGAGTTATTTTTGCTTTAATTGCTTATAGTAGCACCCCCTTATCTGTGGTTACACATTCTGCAGTTCTAATTACCGGGTCAATTGTGGTTCAAAGATATTATATGGGAAATTCCAGAATTAAACAATTTTATAAGGTTTAAGTTGTGCACCATTCTGAACAGCATGATGAAATCTCATGTGTACAACCGTGTCCCGCTCCTGATGTGAATCATTGCTTTGTCTAGGATCTTCATACGATATACACACACCCCCCCTTTGTTAGTCACCTTTACTTAGTAGCCCTCTTGGTTATCAGATGGACTTGCTGTCACAGCACTTCTGTTCACAAAATCTTTATTTTACTTAATAATGGCACAAAAGTGCAATAGTAGTGATGCTGGCAATTCAGATATGCTGCAGAGAAGCCAGGAAGTGCTTCCTGTAAGTGAACAGGTTTGTCTGCATAGGAGAAGGCATAGTATACCCAGGGTTTGGTACTGTCTGTGGTTCCAGCTATCCACTGGGGGCCTCAGGTGGACAAGAAGGGATTACCCTATTTCCTGGGGAGAAATGACAGGATAAAATTTATTTGCAGCTTTTATAAGACTTTGTTGTTAAGCGTGGAAGACAAATTAAGTTTGCTCAGTTTACTAGGGGTGAAGTTGGAGGTTGTCCTGGCCTGTCCACCCTAAGCAGCCCCATCCTCCATAGACCTGTGATTCTGAGGACCTGCCTTCCCCCTAGAATTCATTCTCGAAAATAGCTCCTTTGGCATTTATTTTTGCTTCTTCCTTACATAGCCCTTTTCCTCACTGGTCCAGCAAAAATGTGGGCTAGATGTTTGTCTGTTTTTTGTTTTGTTTTTTAATATATTTTATTGATTTTTTACAGAGAGGAAAGGAGAGAGATAGAGCTACAAACGTCAGTGAGAGAGAAACATTGACCAGCTGCCTCTTGCACACCCCCTACTGGGGATGTGCCCGCAACCAAAGTACATGCCCCTGACCAAAATCGAACCAGTCCACAGACCGAGGCTCTACCACTTAGCCAAACTGGTTTCGGCTGTTTGTCTGGTTTTTTTTAAATATATTTTTATTGATTTCAAAGAAGAAGGGAGAGGGAAAGAGATACAGAAACATCAGTGATGAGAGAGAATCATTGATCAGCTGCCTCCTCATGCTCCCCACTGGGGATCGAGCCCACAACCTGGGCATGTGCCCTGACCAGGAATCGAACCGTGACCTCCTGGTTCATAGGTTGATGCTCAACTGCTGAACCACAACTGGGTGGGTTGGATTAGATGTTTTTAAGAGGAAAGAAATATATTACCTACTTCACCAAGTCATTTTAAAGATTGAATTGTATAAATAATATAAAAGCATCTCAGCTAAATAAGTGCTAAAGTGCTTTAGCATACATATATGAAAACCTTCAGTAACTTTTAGCACTATTGGTGTTTTTCTCTAAATGCTTGTTCTGGACCTGGCCTTTAGCACCATGTTGAAATTTGTGAGATTTGTACAGCTAATGCCAAATGACCAGTGAGCCTTTTCTGCAAATGTTATAATAAGTGGAGAAAAAATCCAGGAAACGGATCTTGTCTGCTTATTGTGTTTTTAAATCTCTTCAGCTGGTTGCAATAAATATTTCTCTAGAATAGTCCACTTCTGTGTTTATTTCTTACTCATATTATGGGGGCATTTTCCTGTCTCAGTTTGGAGGAAGAAAGGGGTGGATTTACCAGGCCAGAAAGAGCTATTAAAACCGTTGCCTCAAGTAGTGACAAAATCATAGTGGTTGATGTCATTCATTCCCAAATGCCAGTGTGAGGATCTTGGCTCATCCACCAATGTTTGTGAACAAAAAAAGGTAATAACCTTTTATGCAAGTGGTTCCTTTCTATGATGCTAGAATGTTCTTACAAGGCTATGCCTAGGTGGTGATACTTTCTTTAAATGGCCCTCGATGACAAATTAAGAATGACCAACTCTGTGTCAGACTTCCAAGTTCAGCGGTGGAAAATAGAAAACTGAACTGTGAAATTCCAGAGGTTAGACGCCACCACAGACGCTAAGGTGGGTTTAAGTAGGTCTACAAAGCATGTTGGGGATTCCTGCCGGAGGGTTTCAGAAACAGCTTCAAAGGGAAGCCAGACTCACTGTCTTCCTCAAATATCTGACCTATTTCTGCTTCACTCGTCATTTTTGTGCAACATTTTTAGAAATGGAGAGTGGGAAAAAGAGAAGCATCAAAGCGAAGTCTGTTTCTTAGCCTGGGTTTCTTTGGGCAGCCTCCTCCTGATTCCTCTTATAGATTTTGCCAGATGGTCTTTCTTTTTCATTTCCTTAAGGTGTGTGTGTGTGTGTGTGTGTGTGTGTGTGTGTGTGTGTGTGTTTTAAGAAAGAAATACATAAATCCTACCCAGAAAGGAATATCTTTATTGTTTTCTTAAGGGAAAGAAGGCTCAGTTGAATTGAGGGACTGAATAAAGTTCTGCCAATGAGTTCACCCTTAGAAAACATTGAAATTCTCCCAAACATACTAATGAAGGTGCCTGTTGTCTTCTCTGTTGGTTTTCACTATGAAGATTCCATAAAAGTTGCATGCTGCGAGAGGGAGGAGCCAAGTTTGGAGGAAATGAACGGCGTGGTCTCTACTTGGCCATCAGCCTTGCACTTGAATGACCCAATCTGGAGACCGGTCTCCAAACTTCTTTGATGGCCTGAATGCCTGGGCTGTGCTGGGCAGCTGTGTCATTGAACATTCTTGGAGTTGTGAACTGCACAACCTGTGTCACTGCAAGCTGTGGCCTGATGCACCCCCAGCATCAGGGCACTTAAGAGGTGTATATTTGCTTATAAATTATGTATGTGCATGTGCCACCCACTTAGATTTCATATGGATAAAACATGATTACTTTATTAAAAAATGAAAATGAATAGCAGTTCTAACAAATTCATCTGTGCACAATGATGGTTTTGAACACCCTCTGATTTCAGCCACCCCACTTGGGAGATGTTGGCCTGGAAGAATGCATAGCGTTCTTTCTATCATTCAGGCAGTGCAGTACATTTGTAGGGTAGGGTTGCTTTTTAGCAGTAAGGTACTTATGGGTCTTACCCTTTCCTGACAGGACCTTTGCCCTTACCTGCTGGTTTCTATTGCAGAGTACACAGTCATTAATGAAGCCTGCCCCGGAGCTGAGTGGAATATCATGTGTCGCGAGTGCTGCGAATATGACCAGATTGAGTGCGTCTGCCCTGGAAAGAAGGAAGTTGTGGGGTATACCATCCCTTGCTGCAGGAATGAGGACAATGAGTGTGACTCCTGCCTGATTCACCCAGGTGAGTGTAGAATGGGAGACCTCAGGTTGCCTTGTGTTTTCTGAGGTCATGAATGGGAACAGGCTGAACACTTGTCCTGACAGGCAGCCCTCAGGAAGCTGTGAGGCCATGCTTATTAAGGATGTGTTCCTTGCTATTGGACTGTCATTGTTCCAGGTTCCTAGTGAACAGAGCTAGGGAGTATATATTATTTTTAAATGAATTTATGTTGATATTCAAGTTCCAATGTAATAAGGTTTACTTACCTTCTTTGATTTTACATTTGTATATCTTTGTCCCATGGTGAACATCCTATTTTCAAATAATACTAACCTAATCACTTATATTCTTTATCTTATTTTAGAACATAATATAATTGTATAAAATAACAATAACACTATTAGCACTAACAATAAGACCACTAATTGAAGTTATGATTTCTTTGTGGTTATTATTGACCTTAGACTGTATCCCACTAAGTGTATACAGTCAAAGCACTGTGTTTTAAAACCAATCGACATACAGGCATACGTTGTTTTATTGAATTTTGCTTTATTACGCCTCATAAATGTTGCATATGTTTTACAAATTGAAGGCAAACTCACCACCAGCAAAAGCTTATAACTCACTTGATGACGGTGGTCTGAAATCACACCTGCAGTATCTCCACGGTGTGCCTGTACTTCTTTTCTCTGTAACATATGCCACCTATGTGATCTACAGATAGGCTTTTTGTTTCCATCCACTTTCCATATTTTACAGTACAAGCAAATATATACACACACGTATACTTCTTTTCCTTTCTTGCATGAAAGATAGCATACTTTATTTACCCTTGCTTTTTGCTCTTAATAATGCATGCTGGAGATCACTCACTGACAGTATGAAGCCGCCATCTTCATTTCTTCTTGCAGTTACTTGTAACTGTATTGTGTGATTGCCATAATTTATGAGTATTTGGGTTGCTTCCAGCTTTTTGCTACTATAAATAATGCTATAGTGAATAGCCCAAGGCATACATCATGTATTATTTATGCCGTGTATCTTTGGCGTACATTCCTAGGAGAGGGATTGCCGGGTCAAAGAGAGGTGCACGGGTCATTTTGCCAGCCTTTGCCAAATTTCCCTCCGTGCCTTTGGCACTCACAGTGGCTGTGTATAAGGGCACTGTTTTCCCAAAGCCTTGCAACAGAACATGTCATTGGGATTGTTGCCAGTCCCATGTATGAGAAATGAGATCTCAACGTGGTTTTAGAAAGTTCTCTCATGGGTGACAACAATTTTCTTCATGCTGGTGGCAGGGGTGGTAGGAGGGTCAAGATCCAGGGGCACGGTGGCAGGATGTGAACCATGACTTCCAGAATGTCCAACAGCACCAGGGCCCTTACCCGATCAAGTTTGCAGTTCTAGGCTGTGTAGCTCTGCACTCAGTCCTCTGGCCCTTCTGGCCATTCTGTGAGTGCCTTAGTGTCTTTTTTAGTAGAGTCTCATTCTTTGTCATCCCCAGGCTGGTTTTTGTGGCATGCACATAATGGCCTGGGTGTTACTGTGCCAAGAAAGAGTTGGCAGGATCGTTGAGGTTATACTCTGAGTCCACTGGCTTCCTCAGTGGCACACGGGTAAGGGAAGCAACAAGGGGAAGTGGCACATGGGTGAAGACGACCTTTAGGAGGCACAGTGACCCCACTGGGACCCAGTTATGAGCCACATAAATTTGAGGCAACATATAAGCAACTCTTCTCTATTGAGAGAAGGGACCGGGAGAAGGAAGTAGAATCAGGCTGGTATGCAAAGAGAGGGTTATTAGTCTCTCTCCTACAGAAACCAGCATATACATACTTCAAATATATACACCATAACCCAACAAAACCGATTTCACCCAAAAACAAATGAGTATGCTGTCAGCTCAAGGAGACACTGGTTATCTCAAATAGCTGAGAAGCCTGCATTGGCAGTTCAGCCATCCATCCATCCATCTATCCATCCAGTGTAATAATATTTATTGAATATTCCTTATGTGGCAGATACTGGAGTACGTTCTAAGGATAAAATGTAGCTGAGCTAGAACTTAGCTGTCTGCCCTGAGTGAGACTGACTGAACAAACTCTGTCTTCCCTCATCACCCTCCATGTTTTAAAAATGATCCTAGCCCTGGCTGGGTAGCTCAGTTGGATAGAGCATTATCCCAATACTAGAGATCTGGTGCACCAAATTCATGCACGGGAGTGATACCTCAGCCCGGCCTGCACCCTCTCCAATCCGGGACCCCTGGCTTCTCCTATGCAGCCGGTCATGCAGGAGTTGCTGACTCCAACACCCTCTTTTTGCAAAATTTTTAGGTTGCACCATCTTTGAAAACTGCAAGACATGCCGAAACGGCTCATGGGGTGGCACACTGGACGACTTCTACGTGAAGGGATTCTACTGTGCAGAATGCCGGGCGGGCTGGTACGGAGGAGACTGCATGCGTGAGTAGACCCCCGGGGCAGCTCCATCTCTAGTGCCTGCTGGTTTAATGTCTCCGCTGGCTGCGGACTACGGTTTCTCTTGCCGGAATCTGAGTTCTGGCAAGCTTGCGGCCAAAAAGCTTTCTAGATAAGGTTATAAAAAAAAAAACACCAAACACGCGCATTTCCATCTGCTGGTTGTGGACTGTGGACATCTGTTTAGAATTGGCCACAGGAGGTTCCTATCTGCTCTTAAATCTTCCCCTTTCTGTTGAACAAAGCCAAGGCATTCTGCACGGCCTCATGACCATTCCTGAAGCGGCTCCACATTAGCATCTGTCAGATAACAGGGACTACAGCACCAGAATGCTCTATCTGTAATGCATTTTAAATATGAATTTCTATTGGCACATTTTTTGAAGCCTGCGTTCAATTCCTGAGGCCCATGTCAAATTGTCAGCATGCCCCTTGTCCCAGGAAAGAGATTTTTTTTCTGGGTTCTACTTGAACTCCAAGAATTATTTAGTCTTTATGAGAGTTCCCTGTGGGTTTCCACAAGCCTTTGAAAATGGAGTGGACTGTTACCTCCCCTCAGCTGGAGAGTCCCCTCTGCAGTGCCCTGATGGTGGCTGTTCCTCTGAGACGCTGGACCTGGGGCAGCACATGTCCTGTTAGTGTTGTGTTTAGCCTGTTCTACAAGTTCCCTCCTTGAGTCAGAAGCATTCTGGGTGGACTTGCAGACTGAGCAATTTGCCTCTTATGATGATATTCCCAGGCCACAGAGATGGAGACTGGAGAGCTACTGGTATTCTTTGCCTGATCAAACCTTAGCAAAATGCCACGAATTTCAAGAGTCTAGGGAAAAGGGTGAGGTCTGTGGTCAGTGGCCGAAAAAGCCAATTACCCCTGGAGGAGAAGGGACGTGTTGGTGAATCCTGGGAGCTCAATTATCCTGAATGCAGATGATTTTACAGTGCTGGTCTGAGGTGCAGATTTAAAACGTTGATGTCGTTTTAGATGGTTTCCGGGAACTTAAATTTAAGACTTTGGGGGATTATTTTCTAGGGAGATTCGCTGCAGGATTTCACCTTGGTCTTCCTCTGACAGCTGTTCTCTGAAGACATTCTGATATGATCAAGAACACAGGCTCTGGAATGACACAGGCCTGGACTAACCAATGGCTTTGCACTGTGACCATGGCCAAGCCATCTAACCTTGCTAATAGCAGTCTCCTTTTCTTTAAAATGGGAATAATGCGCTCTATGCCATTGGGCTGTTTCTAGAATTAAAGAAGATGTGTGTATGTGTGAAATGCCTAATGCTTTGCCTGGAATATAGCAAAAATGAATACAGTAAACATATCATTATTCTTTTATATGCTCCTGAATGGCCAAGCTAGTAGTGATCCAGAAATAAAAGTGCTTAAGACAGACAATCAGAGCTGTCCAGCAAAACTTTGATTTCACATTGACCCCCTACAGTATATTAGATCACTTTAGGATTTTCTTCTGTTTGGAAATGAAAGATTGCTTCTTCTCTGTGTGAGTGGAGAAGGGCCATGTGATGTGACGGGGCCATAGACAGGAGTCAGATCGTGCATGGCCTTGTAGGTAGGTGAACTGGGTCAAGATGTTATTCTGAGTGCAGTGAGAAGCCAATAAAGAGTTGGGGACTAGGACAGTGGTCAGCAAACTCATTAGTCAACAGAGCCAAATATCAACAGTACAATGATTGAAATTTCTTTTGAGAGCCAAAAATTTTTAAACTTAAACTTCTTCTAATGCCACTTCTTCAAAATACGACTCGCCCAGGCCGTGGTATTTTGTGGAAGAGCCACACTCAAGGGGCCAAAGAGCCACATGTGGCTCTCGAGCCCCAGTTTGCCAACCACTGGACTAGGATATGGCATTGTCAGAACCAGGTAAAAAGGAGTCACGGGTAGGGGAGCTGTTAGGTAGGAGTTGATGCTTGAGCTATGCTTTGCTCAGGTGTGGGCAGACCAGAAGGATACCTATGTGGGTGCAATTCTAGTCTCCTGGTTCTTAACCACAGTGCCATCCAACCTCCACTTCAAAAGCTCTGTTTTCTCTGAAAAGTGGGAAGTGGTATCTCTGCTGAGGGCAGAGTGGAAGTGAGACCTGGGCTTGAGAGCAGCAAAGGTTTGAGACAGCCACGCAAGGAATAAGGAAAGGCAAGTCCCAGCAAGACTGAGGAACCTGTTCAAGCTGGAGCTGTTATGTAGGCGATGCAGCCAGGCCAGTGGGCAAAGCTCTCCAGCAGCATGGTAGCTGCGATGAACTGAAACAGGCATTTGCTTGATCTGAGACTTGACTAAGACAGGTCATCCAGGTTGGGTAGGACATGAAATCAGAAAGAGCCTGGCAGAGAGAGAATAGGGATGGCTGTCTCAATGTGGTGAAAAAGTAAGCTTAGTGGTAATAAAGCAGTGGAACACGTAGATAGAAGGGGTATTGTAGGCAGAGAGTAGAATATCTATGTTAAAGCTATCAGGGGTGGTGGTGATAATATGTTCATATATAATAGTCAGTTTTTGCTGTGTAACAAATCTCAAAAGGAAATATATATATATTTTTTATTATGGGTCTGTGGGTGGGCTGGGGTTCAACTGATTTCAGCTGAGCTGATCTGGGTTGAACTCCATGCCTCAGGGTCCAGGCCAAAGAGGCAGCAGCTACTAGGGACGTGCTGTCCTTAGGGGAGTTGCAGAAGCACAAGAAGCCAAGCCACACACACAGGCACATTTAAGGCCTCTGCTCATATCACATTCACTCACATTTCAAAAGAGGTCATGTGGATAAGCCCCAAATCAGTCAACTAGGGAAGTATTCTCCATCCCAAGTGGTAGGGCCACTGATGGTATCCAGGTGTCAGATCAAGGCTTCCTCAAGGACAGCTTATTGCTACAACAGGCCATTGCTACTGGCAGAACACAGAGCCAGGCCCTCATTCATCAGTCTACCCAGCCATTCAAAAAATATTTCTTGAGTGGATGCTCTGGAGTGCTGGACAAACAATGAATATGTCTTGGAGCTTGCAATTTAGAGAAGAGAGAGAGAGAAAAAAAAAACACCCAAAAAGTAAAAAAAATTGAGTGCGGTCATCAGTGCTATGAAACAAACAGAATAACAGTCCGATTCCTATCTCATTCTGTGTTAGTTCAGTTGTGCTTGTTTAGTTCCATGATGTTTGCTCTGAAAGCCTCATCCCACACAGTGTGCTATCTGGCCATAGTCTTAGCCTTCATAGAGCATTTCTTTTGGGGCCCTGAGTTAGACACCAGGGAAAACAATGAGCCCTCAGTGAGTTTACAAACCATCCATGGAAACAGTGTTCGACCATAAGAAGACATCTGTGTGATATGATGATGTTATTAGTTCTTACCACATGTGCCTCATATTGGCATTAAATGAATGTGAATGGAATTCAAATGAGGAAGTAACTCATTTCACTGTTTGTGGACTTCTTGCTGGGCACTGGGTGCTGCCTGCCTCTGTTAAGAGGAAGCCACACTTGAGTGGCTGTTTATGGCCAGGGCATCTTGCTGGACACCCATGGCAGTGCAAGCATTTACCCAGTAGATGGCGCTCAAGTGATCCTTTCAGGCAGTTTCATTCCGAAGGAAGGAGGGCTTCCTGTTGAATACCCTCTGGAGGCCCAGGCATTCCCCACGCACCCCCAACCCCCCCCCCCCCCCCCCGCGCCCTATAGAACCTTAGAAGGAAGGAGAAGTGACTGGAAAATTCCAGAAAGACGATTCTATATTTGAGTTACAGAGCTTTCATATAAAGCACTGAGCATATGTTACAGCACCTTTATTTGATCACGTCCTTGACAATGTTTATGTTAATTAGTGTTAACCTAACTTACGACAGTCTTAAAATCCATTATGTGATCAAGTCATTCATAACCATTGGCAGATGGTATTAAACAAGATAACAGGAGAATGGCCTGAAGTCACTGAACCTAAGGGAAGACTTTATTCCCATCTCCCTGCCTAGGAAAGAATGGTTTCGTGAGCTCAGAAAATCCTGGCTAGGGACAAGAGCCAATTCTTGGTTTCTTTCCCCAGCCTTTTATTTTGAAAAATTTCAAATCTACAGAGAGTTGAAGAACAGTACATTCCTATACCTTTCACCTGGATTCACCTATTAACATTTCCCTCATCTGACTTACTTTTACTGCATACAGACACGTGAATTTAATATTCTCCATGTTCCATGTTATCACCATTTTTCTTTTCCATGCTAAAATTGTCTTGGAATTGGCCAGCACAGCCCCTGAAAGCTGGCTCCACTGCATCATTCGGTAAGCAATGCCTCATTCCCTGGTCTGCAACCAGCCATTTCTCCATGAATCCTGGTTCCTCCTATGGGAAAAGCCTTTAGGAACTGCAGTCTGTGTGCTGGCTCCAAGAGGGGCTGAGAGCAGGAGTCAAAAGGAAGACTTCCTCTCAACGCTTCTTAAACCGGGAGGTAGTCTTCTTACATGGAGCAGGACCCAGAGCCACTCCATATGCCACACTTCCATGTAGCATGACAGTGATATGAACCTTGTAGGCATTGAAGGATCCAAGGGATATGAGAAGGTTAGGAAGTCAACCCAGAGAAGAGAGGATTTTTATAGAGAGATTATTAATACATTTATCTTCTTAGTCATAATTTGCATAGTGGTAGAGGAGCCAAGGAACTGGCCATAAGCCATGCCCCACAATGTGTGTGGGCTAGAATAGGAGAGAGGAGGATGATTTGTGAGGCTGGTCCTTGAGCCATAACAGACAATGGTCAAGAGCAAATTTGTGTGTGTGTGCGCACGCGCGCGTGTGTCTCTGTATGTGTCTGTATGAGAGAGAGAGAGCACACTTTCACAAAGCTTTTCTAAAAATATGTTTTTATTGATTTCAGAGAAATGAAGAGAGAAGGAGAGACAGATAGCAACATTGATGAGAGAGAACCATTGATCGGCTGCCTCCTTCATGTCCATTACAGGAGACCGAGCTTGCA